TCATTCCGATGCCCAGCACGTTGACCGTCTCGGACCAGTGCTCTCGCCAATAGCGCTTTTGTCTTCTAGCAGAGGTGGGTTCATGACTCACCAAACTCCATCAGGAGACGTGCGCATAGCGCCCAAGGTCTTTGCCTTTCAATCAATCCATGGCGCATGGTGTTCCAAGCATGCCATTCCTAAGATGAGGTCAAAGCTTGCATCCATGTCTAAGACTAGACAGCGTTCCACGCTACCAATGTCAAGGAACTTGACTTCGAGGTGAACAGGGATCTTCTGGACTGTGATACGCGTCCCCGTCGCTAGGCGAATAGTGACGATGTCATCCAACCGCGCTTTCAGCGCCTCAGCATACAGCTGACTTCCCTCCATCGCGGAGCGTCGAGTATAATTGTCCGACGCCCCAGAATCGATGAGGATCTTCCATGGCTTTCCGAAGTCCTTTACGATCGCCTCTACGACCAGCAAGTCTGGCTTGCATACACGTTTCGTATTCACAAGCACGGAGCTTTTTGGGGCTGGGCCTTGTTGACATATGCCTCTATGAGGCTCAACAGAACTCAGTTCTTTCCCAGCAGGTCGCCCCGTGCCTATTGAGTGGTGTCGTTTCCCCGCGACGAACCAGACTGGTAGGCATTAGGGCGAGATGATTCGAAGAACCTTGACGCGCCTTGCGCACGGGGCAACCGCTTCGAAGATGATGAGTGTCTCCATAGACAAAACACCGTCGTGTATTTGTGTGCTGCCCGGCAACTCGGAGCTCTGCACCCTCTTCCTCAGCATAGCTGAGATCCATGGGCATAGGCCCGATCGACGAGCGTGCATTCCAACCAAGTCATGCCGACTTAAAATTGAAATTGGCATTCAATGCCACATTCACCGCCTCTTCAAACAAAGACGGATGCACATGATAGACTACTATTCTGGCCACGCCAGTGCGGAGACCTTCCATAAAGACGGTCACTGTGACCGCCTCCGGGAGGGGATCTGCTGCCATCCCGGCAATGAGAGTACGCACCTCTTGGACAAAGTCCACTAACTCCTTGTTGCCCTTTCGGGTGGCAAGGAAACGCAATCGCACGCGATACGCCTGATTAGGTGGCGAGAAAACTCGTTAGAGCTGCAGTTTCGGCTCCGTTTAAGAGGGAAACACCGCTTCGACCGAAGTGCCGCGCGTCAGTACCCATTCTCGCGCTCGACCGTCGACCTTGGAGGTGGCTAGCGCCACGCGCTGTTGCTTGGTCTGGAGCATGGCGGATGTGATGGCCATCTCGACCTCACTCACCAAGGGCAGAAGAATTTCTACATCCTTTGACCTTAACGCTCACCATGAGCGGCTTGGAAGACATCCGTTACTGGCGGTGGCGTCATAGGCGCAAATGAAGCAGACATCTTCGGCTGCAGGTGCTCTATCAGCGCGTTTTCGTAATTTAAAAACGCCTCTAGACGCGCACCAATTGCCTCGAGGCCTTGCGCAGCAAGGACATCAGCTTCTTTAGCCCGTCCTGCATGCCCTGGGGTAAAGAAGTAATTGTTCCATCCTCACAGAGGGTCAGTCTAAACGACTCAGGTGTAGATTGACTACAAGTGCTAACAAGTGCAGCGGGGCTGCCGTAGCTTTGCGCTTAGAGGGAGCTTAATTTGGTCACCGACCTTACGTTGTATGCTGGGAACAAGTACGAGTTTAGCGGATCGCAATCCGCTTACTCCAAGAGTAAATATTGCCTTAACCCAAGGCTGGTTTTCTCTTCCGCTTAAAATCCAAAACTGACTTATTTATTTCTATCTGCGGCAAAGCCGCCTAATTTTAAAGGTATAAATTTTCCTAACTATATATAGTAAAATCGAAATACATGCATAACTTCTGGCTACCCAGCCGCGTACCGTAATCTTATTCGGGTGCAGTCACACCATGCCCATCTCGTGTGACACACACCCCTGCTACCAGGGTACGCATAACCCCGTTACACATCGTATCTGTGAGCCTGTCAGCTACAAGCAACTCACTAGCAACCGGAAGCGGTGGGTTTATTCTTACTAGTCTAACTGAAGACATAGATAGGGGACCGATAACTCGTGAGCTGCGGCGTCACAACAAATCTTCGCTGTCTGAAAGTTTTAGTCTGGAATTTGGTGGTGTAAATTTGTGGTTGCTTGAATCCCTGATCCAATAAACATTGCTTCAACTACCGACTTTCAAGAGGTTTAACAAAATCATCATGTGAGAATGCTTCTGACAGAACCTCAGATTTGCCTGGATGCTACGAATGATCAAATTGGTATACTGAATAGAACGAGAAAGCGTGCACGCCCACGTGCACTCAATAATAGTTTGATTACCCGAGTTGTCAAGACACAGCGGCAAGGTAGCCTTCGTGAGGCCTCCTTAGACAAAAAGCTAGTGGCAAGTTCGAGGATGCGTTGACTCGACCTCGGTTGCAGTAGCGAGATTTTCAAAAACAACCCTTCCTCGCAATGTATATAGTATCACTGAAGAAATTTCAAAAATCTTCAGACTTTTATTTGTGCTCAGTACTGTGAAGGGATGGAAGGCTGACGAATAAGTTCCACATTAGTGGCCGAGACATACTTTCCAGATCTTCGTATCCATACGATGGTATACCGGAACTCTTCAATTAGACGATCACCAATTGGCAGATTCATCTGCCGAGCCGCAAAGCTGATTAATTAGCGGCTGCAACAATTTTGATATCAATTGCAGTGGTAATGACAAAAGCAACGATCTCTATGGTTGAGACAATTGACAAACCGCTTAGAAAAGTATCTCTTGAAGTGAATAAAATTGTTATATATATGCGTGTCAGAGTTGAGTTTTGTTTGGACATTTCTGTCCTTATCATATATTGCCAACCCTACCAAACCGTACATTGGATCATAATCAAAGGCAGCAATACCGCTATCATCTTTACTATTAAACTCTCACAATTTAGAATCGTAAATTTGGCTGCCAAGCACATCACGTTCAACGACAGAAGAGGTATACACTCAAGTCAACTTTTGTCACGCATAAATTACATAACACGATCTATGCATGCCAGTTCATTTCGATTCTTCTACGAAATCACAACCAATGCGTCTTAGCGCTTTCAGATATTACAGCGTACATCTACGTATGCTTGGATAAATCATTCACAGTAATTGATACAAAAGTAACAGTGAAGCAAACAAGAAATCACTCCAAGACTCACAAACACATCTTGTGTAGATACCCTTCTCAGATTTTAGCTGGACCTAAGACTCGGATTCGATAACCAAAAAAAAAACATGATCAAATTTGAAAAATACCTTACTTCTTAGCAGGTGACATCAAATAAAGAGGTCTCTAGCAGCATATCTGGATTTGCTGCTACATAATAAATAGATTGTTAGGACTTGCATGCGTTTGATTTCTGTTGCGAAAAACTTCCAGTGATCATTTTTCTTCAGTTGATAACCCTTGCAATCACATTTATTCCATGATGAAAATTGTAGTTCCAAAATATTATTACGAATGTTTATTGTGACCATATCTATATACATTTTAGTTTTTCACTAACAAAAAAATATTTCCCACAGCTCAATATATTGGAATCAGGAAATCCGAAAATGCACCACCCTCTAGTGCTTATTGTCCTTTGTTATACTGTCATCCTTTTTATTTATGATATTTCTATGTACCGACGACGCTTGCTATGTACTTTGGCTCGTTACATGGTGATGCATGTTGAAGACGTCAAAAGTCGTTGATGTTGCATTTTCAGCATCGGTAATTATACCTGATAAAACACAGCTAGTACCGCTTTCGTCAACCTCATAATTGGAAATGCACTCGCATAGCCCAGAAGCACTCGGTTGTGCGTTTGAAGGACATTTGGAAACTTCTGAAGAGCTTGGACTTGGGTTTTGTTCAATAGTGTCAGCGACTTTGACCGACGTTTCCCCCTCGACAGGTTGGTCTAATGCCTCTTGGGAAGAATTTTGACTCGCAAGTGGCTCCGTTTGAGCTTTGTTGAATTCTGTTTTTTCTTCATTTATGGTGTTCGAAGGTTTCTCAACTTCTTCAATTGTTTCAAATAAATCCATCGCTAAACTCAGATCGATAGGCTCCTGTTCAAGCACGATCTCATCCGTTGACTCATGCTCAAGTTCGACATTGTTAGGCGCTTCACTCTCCACATCTGACATTTGTAAGTTAGGATTACGCGTCACACCATTTATCTTGATTGTCGGACCACGGCTGACTGAAAAGACACACGATAGACGTTATCAAACGCCAAGTAAAATAAAATTCATCTACGTAGCATACCTCTCATGGGTGTTAGCTTAACGCATCGTTGATTACCTTCCAGTATCTCTTCCTCACTTTCCATTCCATATCCTTCAAGACACTTGCCACAAACATTCACCTTACGCGAACACTGCACATGCAAGAGCATCAATTAGGCTGATCACATAAGCTACATCCGAAAAATAGAAGACAAAACTTACTGGCTCCCGTCCAAGGTCCTCACAAGACGGGGTGACTATGCACTCTAGTGCTTCTGGAAGTATGTCTGCTGGGAGACCGTGCGTTCGAGCTGTTATAGCCTCTCTCGTCCACGATCCAAAGACACCATAGCTTTCGAATGTTTCAGAACGAAAGTAAAGATTGTATGAAGTGCCTTCAGTAAGCCCGGTAATCACAAAACTTGTTGACTGGTCTGTTGTAATATTCACGTGAATGATACCACTCGCACGTACGCTCAATTCTGTCGATCCATGTATGATATCGTCTATAGGAACTTCAGAGCCAAATTTGCTGGGAACTACAACATAATGAACATGACCACGATCATTAAGCGTGAGATTGACCGTGAGAGAATCCACACGGGCATCTGTTGGATTCACCGATACATTTACCAATTCAGGTGCTTCGGAGTGTGTACGAACTCCAGTGTGGGTGGCCACAGTGCCGTAAATACCTCCACTATCTTTTGTTTCAGTTACAATACGAATAGTATAGTTGACGCCAGTCTGTGGAGCTTTTAAAGCTACTTCTCGCCATCCACTGTCGCTTTCGTGTTCCATACTCGCATTGTCAACCTCCACGAATTCCTGTGTCACGAGTTGGTCGTGTAGAGCGAGACGGTTGCCAAATTTATCGCTTCCGTGCACAACATGGTACGCGGGGTCCCAGGGTTTTACTGCAACAATGGAAAAGTAAACATGTCCCGGTGCATCGATTCGAAAGCCTACAGTGATGGATTCAGTGCTTCCTGGTGTCGGGTACGCTGTGTGGGTCAGTAGAATGGGTGCATTGGCAAATGTTGAGACTTTCAGTAATTTATGGATCTCTCCGTACACACCGTGATCCGCTGGTAATGCTTCCGAAACAAGGTAAAGACTGTAGCTTGTGCCTGGTAATAAAAAGTCAAGCAGCTCGACATGTTCACCGTTTGAAAAGGTTACACTTTGTCGTGTGCGCACAACATCCAAGCGATAGTTGTGGAAGTCTCGGTCTCGTCCATGACGATTACCATTTGACATCCCTTTACTGCTTATATTGTAGGGTGAAGTGGCGTTGAATTCTGCATTGTCCGATAGTCCAAGCATGTAGTGAACTTCACCAGGACGATCAAGTGCAAATGTCAAGACTAATTCTGTTGTCGATCCAATTCGGGGCTGCATTTGAAATTTTGTAAACTTTGGAGCGATCGCGTGCGTACAAACCTGTAACTTTTCGAATGCTGAACTCAAAACTCCATATGCACCGACAGTTTCTGTCGCTAATAGGACCATGTAACTTGTATTAGCAGAGAGCACATGTTGTTCTCCCACTTCTTCTTCAAGATCATTTATATTGTGTTGTCTATCAGACATGTGAAATTCGACGCGCTTCTGTACTAACGGTAGAGTACAAATACTTTCATTTACTCTACTATCCAGCTTTGTGTTGATAGTCACGTTCGTCTCCGACTCTGCTAATTGATTCAGACGTAGCGTATTCATCACTGATGTAGTCAAGATGCAATCAATTGGAAAGACCAAAATATGAACAAGTGCACTCTTGCACGAATCGCATGCGATGTCAAACTTAACAGTAATACGAGAAGTGGACCCAAACGTAGGCTGTGCTTTGGCTTTGACAATACGCGGTGCAACTTCGTGTGTTTTGACTGCGATTCCCTCAATTTCTGTGCGAGAATCATTATCTCTATGTTTATGTGGATTCACCTGTGTGAAAACTCCGTTGCTGTTGCTCGTCTCGTACGCAAAATATAAAAGATAGTCATGATTCGCATCCAGCCCGAAAACATTTTGCTCAATTGTTAAAACACTTGCGTTCTCAATAGATATATTCGATAGCATCCCAGCAGCAACTACGCCATCACCACGTCCAGGTGAGGCATTTTTGAAGGCACTTGTCACTTCACCTCGATGCGAAAAGTAGGCTCCAAGATCACGGTTTGCCTTTTTGTGAGTGTCAATGAGCACAAAGTATGGTACGCGATCAGTGGCTTCCGCAAATCGATTTAAAATGGTCCCGTTCGTCATGAGCGGAGCATCTAATCGCTTTGAAATGTTAAGAATTATGCGAACAGAGTCAGTTCGACCACTTGACGGAAGTACAGAAATTTCGTCCAGCAACTTGGACTGGTTCGTGTAATCTGCATGTGTTTTGACACGTCGACACGCCGTCTTACTGCCGTCTAAAGGCCATCCCAAGATACCTCCGCTAGCAGCGGTTTCAGTCACAAGACACACGTCAAAAAGCGCATTAGCTGGTAGGTTATCAATTTGCTTATGCGTCGTATTAACGCGCGTCATTTGTTCTCGTGAAATCGAGATCGTATCATTAATCCAAACTCCCATACCAAGCTCTTCTAACGTTGCTGTCTTAAGCAGTGAGCCATTTAATTGCGTTAAGTTAAAGGTGCTGATAACAGGTGGCCAGATCGCGATAGACTCATTAGTTGCATTCTTAGAACTTTGAGGTTCCTCTTGAATGGCTAGGAGCTCTTGACTTCTATCTGGTAAGAGACCGCGGAATAATAGTGCGTAGTGCACGTCTCCAAAACGGTCAAGCTCGAAATTTATCGCAAGAGCAGAGCTTGACCCATCCACAGGATAAATCAAAAGTGTTTCCTGACGAATTGTTGGTGGACTAAGATGCGTATTCACAAGCACTGGAGGTGGAAAATCTCCAAAAACACCATGACTCTCGAATGTTTCCGTGGTAAGAGAGACATGGTATGTTGTACCTGACTTCAGACCGCTAAGTGAAGCATTGTGTACAAATACTGCTGGATCCGTAGGCTGAGAATCATTCGTGCCATTTTTAATTTCCATCAACAGATGCTCTTGTAGCACCATGAACTCCCCTCGAAGCTCATGAGGACTACGACCAGCATCACTTTTGCTTATAATTGCCGGGTCAGCAAAGTCAACGTCGCTTATAAAGTAATGTACCACTCCCGGGTGGGATAGATTGGCAGTTATAATAATGCTGTCTGTACTGCCATCGACAGGATCCACCGTAACTAAAACCAGCTTCGGTGCAACAGCGTGAGTTGTAACATTTATCGTTACCACTTCGCCAAACACTCCACTACTCTTTCCATCTCGACTCATCTCCGTCACGATAAACACATCATATGTCGTGTTAGCGTCCAAGCTCTTTACTTGAAATTTAGCAGAATCGACAATGTTAGGATTATAGAAAATATTTCCGCTGCAGATAAAAGATGAGCTAGAGGATGGTAATCGATCTTGAAAATGAGAGCGAGTATCTTCACTACGCTCAAAAGATTGTTGTACGATTGTAGTTGCATCCACGTCTGTCTGTACTTCGGTCTGATGTGAATCTCGAGCTTCTCGAACAACATAATGGATTATGCATGAGGAAACTGGCTCCACTACCACAATCGCTTCGATCTGCGAAATCGTAGCTGCTATCGGTCTTGCAGTCGCCTCGATAACTGAAGGTGCACGCTTGTGTGTTCGGACGACTTTATTTTCACTGCGTAAGCTCATTACACCATTACGAAGAGCATTTTCAGCATACAAATTGACTTTATAGTTGGTGTCTTCGCTCAAGTTCCCGACCGTAAAAATGGTAACATCAGATGGTGGGACTGACGTTTCTACGCTGTGTTTGTCCTCAACTTCTCGACAATCGTGTAATGTTTCGTTTTGATCGCTTTCCGACGACTTTACCATTGATATACATAAATAGAGAATATCATTCGGCTTGGTCATGCTTACTTCAAACTGAATGGCACCAAGATCTCCATAAAGAGGTCCAACAGAATGTACGACTATGTCTGATGCATTCTCGTTTGTGCGAGCTTCTAAGACATTCTGAAACGTGCTGCCAAAGACACCAGAGCTTTGTGAATGCCTTGTTGTTTCGGGAAAAAGAACAATCGAGTATAAAGTCGCGTCTTTTAGCCCTGAAATGTTAAATTGCTGTGTGAATGCTTCACATTCTGTCTTTTCGGTTCTTTTTTCAGTTCTCGCACCATTTGGGTTTATATCTACAGAACTGACGTGCTCCTTGGAATAAAATTCAAAAACACCGATTGTGTAAGCACTTTCCTCGAAGGTGTGAGAGAATTGATCACCTAGAAGAGACAGAAGATGGTTTAGATTTGTGGCCTGCTGGAATACGCTACGGAGGCTGTCAGCTGCTTCACTCTGATCTGTTAGGATGTAATGAATATTGCCTTGCTGTCGTTGCAAATCAACAACGACAGCAAGGGAGTCCACACTTTCATTAATTGCATAAATGGTAGCTCCAACGATAAAAGGTGCTTCTTCATATGTCATAGCCTGGGTTGTTAGCTCTTGAAGTCCATATAGTCCATTGCTACCTGCAGTTTCGGCACGAAGCTTTACTTTGTACAATGTTCCACTTTGGAGCCCCGTGATGTTTGTATCGTGACTTTCTTTAATCCATAATTGAAAATCTTCGACGCTTGAAAAGTTTGGCGTAGAGAATATACCACAAGTTGTGTTACCGCTTTGTACGCTGGTATCATTAGTGCTGTGTGTTGAGCCTGTTTCATTTGATGATGCTAACGCCGAGTTAGATGTGACAGTAAAATTCTCGGATGAAGCTGTGACCTCATAATGAAGATTGTACAAAAAGTACGACAATGTCTTGAGATTCACGCGTTCAAGATCTTGTTGGTTCATCTTTAATCGAAACTTTAAGTCAAGAGCTGTCGCACTTGCATTAAGCGGCGAGCAGGCCAGTGTAACAATCTCCAATGGAAGCGCATGTGTACGACATTTTTTAGGATATTGAAAGACTTGAGTTCGAACTTGGCCGTGGCCAGGAGCCTCCGTAACGACAAATACATCATATAATGTAGCCGACATCAAACCGCTTACGTATAACTCAAAACTTAACGATTCATGAGATTCCATGGTATGTGCTGTAAATTGCGTGTATGCTACACGAGGAACGGAGCGATTCTGAACCAGATCTTCGATGGTAAGCTGAACGTCATCATCACTTGGAATTAATGCAAAGTACACACGTCCTGGAGTTGATAGTGTGGCGTTGATTAGCATCGTATTTGCTGTCGCATCTACCGGTTCTACAGCCATCGTGTCAATATGTGGAGGTTCTGAATGAGTCTTCGACTGAAGCACCGATTGCACTGGTCCAAAGACGCCGTTGCTTCCGACTACCTCGGCAACGAAGTAGACGTCGTAACTCGAATTTGGTTGCAAGTTTTCTATCGTTCGGACCACTTCTTGCGCCTTTGACACTGTGATAGTATCTGCAGCCACGACTTCTAAACGCTGTACCCTCTCAACTGCACTGTTTGATCGTTCCACATTTGTTTTACCCACATCTGAGCGACATTGAGCTGCCGCTGTCTTGATATTCTCTGCATTAAGTGCCGGGTGGCCTGCAGTAAGCACCACGTAGTGTAGATACGAAGCATCTGTAAGAAATGTTGTCAATGTGAGTGCGTACGGTGACCCATGGGTCGCTGTTAAAAAACTTTGCGTTTCTTTCTCACTAGAAGCGACTTCACTGTCAAGATCAAAATGATTTTCAATTAGTAACTCATTGCCACTTGCCAGTAGCGCTAAAGATACGAAGATAACGAGGATTAAGCAATGATACATGATGTATTATGTCTATCAAACAATGATCTTGAAAAGATATGCGTCGCTTCATTAGATTTGGTCGTTTGAATGTCTCATGAATGTGTTATCGTATAATTGTAATTGGGGGTACACAGGTTTACTATAATAGACATTAGACTACTATGCCATCTACGCTAACGCAAGCCGAGTCAGCGGACTTTGCTGCAGCTAAAGCATTAGCCCAAGACCCGCATGGAGCTATTAACGAATCCTCTGGATTGTGTTATAATCCGAAGAGTGACAAGCTTCGACGCTCTACTTTAAAGCGATTAAGTCGCAAACACGAAGTTATTGCTGAGACTGAAGATGAGGACGTACTTGTTCTATCATCACCAGCATCTTCAAATAGTACTAGCAGCTTAAGCACATCGGAGAGCAATTCAAAGCGTCCGGTTGGACCTCAAGATTTTGATCTACTGTGCGTGATTGGCCAAGGAGCTTTTGGTAAAGTCATTCAAGTTCGACACCAGCCTACGGACGAGATATTGGCAATGAAAGTAAGTAAATTCTTGAATGAAAAGAATAGTATGATAGCGTGGTTATGCGTGAGTGTTTTGGATGAACAGATTGTATCAAATAAGTACATTGTGCAGCACAATTCGGTAGCGTACTTGCAAGCGGAGAGAGACATTATGACGAAGATTAATCACCCATTTCTTATCAGTCTTCGATATGCTTTTCAAACCAAGTCAAATGTATATTTGGTCATGCCCTTTGTAGCTGGTGGAGAACTATTTCATCATCTTCACAAGGAGGGACTTTTACTTGAGAGTTCGGCTAGATTTTATGCTGCTGAAATGGTACTCGCACTGGAGCACTTGCACTCAAAAGGCATCATTCATCGGTACAAAGATTATACAACTCCTCGTATGTTGATTTACTTGAGTGTCAAGTGATGCTTTATAGAGACTTGAAGCCCGAAAATGTACTGCTTGGTGCTGATGGGCATATCTGCCTCACAGATTTTGGCCTTGCCAAAGAAATGACGGATGTGAGCTGAAGATTAGTAACGACATTATGCTCGCACTATATACTAAGTTTCTTTGATATTGATAGGAGGACGATTCGACAAATACGATGTGTGGCACGAACGGTGCGTTTGAATTCGTGTTAGTAGTACCGAAAAGAAAATGAAATACCGTTTTGATCAGAATATATGCCGCCGGAAATGATCCGTCGAAAAGCGTACAATCAGGCTGTTGACTGGTGGGCGCTTGGTGCTCTTATTTACGAGATGGTGACGGGGTATCCACCGTTTCGACATAAGAATCGCAAGAAGCTTCATCAAAAGATCTTAAATGAAAAGGTTTGACGAAGTGTTTGTGATGTGTTTTCATGTTGGGTGATATGATATTTATTTAATGTGTACGGAAAAATCTGCAGCTGCCACTTCCAAAATGGCTTGGATCTGATACTCACTCGATTTTAAAGCAGCTTCTTGAAAGAAATGTCGACAAACGTCTTGGCTCTGGCAAGTCGACAATGTTTCAAGTGAAAGGAGTGCAGGCTATTAAAAAGCACGCTTTCTTTAAAAGTATTGATTGGGGTTTGCTGGAACAAAAGAAGGTGCAGCCACCAATTTCGCTAAACGTTTTAAGCAATACGGATACCACGTACTTTTCCGAAGAGTTTACAACATTGGACGTCGGACGTCAAAGCCATATCGACACTGCTAACACAAGTGGCGATTCAAAGAAACTATTTGCACGATTTTCGTGGGTCGCTGATGACGCCGCAAGCTTTGCCAATATTATGCGAAGTAAGGTGAAGGATGATTTGGTTACAACAGCTGCTGACGGATTAGCAAACGTGACTCTTCATGATAACCTGAGCTCTGTTTGAAAGGGGTAGATGTATTATCTTAGAGGTATATTGTAACCAAGCAGATCTCTATTCCGAAATATAAGATAGTTGACTAGGCGTGGGTAGAAAATCGGGTAATCTCGGCGTGATATGCTCGTCATTCATCAATATTAGTCAAATCAGTCTAGAACAAAGTAACCGCGGTCTGCCAAGAAGTTATTGATCACGGTCTGTTTGTCGACCGACCAGGCATGCTACGTAAGCCACAAGAATTGCTTTATCTTTAGCTATGCCGATCGGTGTTTCTGATGCTCTATATCTTTGGTATCAGGTGTGTGCAGCAATCGCCCTCGGACGTCATTATCATAGGTGTATTCGATGAAGTTATTGTAGTTTTGTTACGCTAACTCTTGATCAGCGATAAACTACCACATTTACTCAGCTTTATGAACGTTATCTTACGAAGCAGAAAGAAGATGAGATCTTAAATTCTCTAGTAGACGGGCTTCTAGTGATAAGAATAAATTGACTGCCAAAAACATTGTAGCAAAGATGAATTTGATTATCGTTGTCACTGACCAGCAGCATCCGCTGAAAGGAATGTTGTTTTTTTGGACTGCATTACTGTTCAGTATAGTCTCGGGATAACGAGATGTCAGCTTATTGCTTAGGACTGCCACATCGAAAACATCATCAAAATTGCCCGTCTTTCACTTTAAATCCCTTACTAGTCACCAAATTTCCACTTCAAATCCAAATCTATTCTGAATTGATATGATTTATGGCCTGTTATGTTCCCTAGCATCCTTTTCTGTAGGTACTTGGTCGCAGCGAACGTCTTTCACCCCGAAAACCAGTTAACAATAATGCTGAATGATCATGTCTTAGTTTTGAAGAATTTCTCTTTGGGATCTGCAGACATATCGTGCCTTGTCAAATAAACGTTTGGTTATTAGACGCATCACATAGATATTATCAACTTTTTATGATCAAGATGAATATGACGCATGAGACCCGATTGCTTTCGAGCAATCTCTCCTCTTGTCAAGTCTTAATGTAATGATATCACTCGCATTTCAGGCACGGGGATAAATGCGTTTTTCATTTTGTCTCCATTTCATCAGGGATTTGGTTATTCCTCCAGCTCTAAACTGCCAATTCATAATTCTTCACACATAGTCGCGTCTTGCTTTCATGCCAGCGTTTCCGCGATGATGAGGCAGAGGTGGAACTACACTCTTGTCAGGACGCTGCTTCAGTACGCATGTAAAGCTGAGAATTCCCTCATCCGTTAGCTTCCAATCACTAAGTGAAAATCTAGCGGACGATGTGAGCTCTCACAGGTAATCATATCAGTTCGGAGCTATAGTCAAGACATTTAGGATGTCGTTAAGATTCTGACCGTTTTATCTTGTCACGGTGCACATTACGCTTTAACTACTTACAGGACAAAACATCATCATACGAATCGTCGAAGGTAAAAACTGCTATCAGTACACCTTTTTCAAGCTCTTTCTAGTGCTCCGAAGCCTAGCCACGGCAACCTCACAGATGCACGTCGCAAGTACTATCGTTTTCTTCATTGAAGTCTTTTCACATACTAAATTCCGTGATATCGCTATTCTAATATGTTGTTCATTGCACCGTATAAGTATGCGAAAATTGGCATTCAGACTTTTCTTTTGCCCGCAATCTCGAAGCCAGAGGCAATGTTGTCAATGCATAAACGACTCACTTTTCGCTGTTCTTAACCTTTTATCGGTGCTGCAAAAACATGTTGGATTTGATATGCAGTTTGTACTCGCTTAACGTTTCGTTTCTCTTCTCTTGACTATTTGTCTTCGTTGGAATAAATAACGCAATTCCCTAAAACCACGACAGCTATATTTGTCGATTAGAATCTCGACACTATATGCGAACACACCACACCTACCGGTGACTACATACTCAGTCTCCCAGCTTTAAGTGATGAGTCAGTCATTCATCATCTTTTGTTAATTGGACGTGCCAAATCGCGTATATTTTGTCTATACTGATAGAAAATCTTGAAGCAAAATCTTCAGGCCAAACGAATTTATTCTTGAGACATATTTCAACCAGGCAATACAAACAGTTGGTTAGCAACGTTATATTTAAAGCTCGCTACATGTCAATCGATTTTTTTTAAGGTGATTGCATGCATGCAGAGCGTACGCGCTTCTAATGCATTTGGTTGGCTTAGAAGATGCGCAGCGCAAGAATTCACATTCTGATTTTCTCCTTTTTGATGAAAGCAGTTAGATCCAAAATTTCCAGCTTATTATAGATACAGAAGCACCGAGACCTGCATGGTCATCTAAAACCACATGTATTAACAGACCGAAGAGCATATGCTCAAAGTTATGGGCAAAACGAGACCGCAGTCTGAGAGACCACAAATCTTTGCTAGAACAGTTGCTAGGCGTATTGAGATTGTTAACCCTGCAGTATGAAGAATACCCTTGACGCGGCCTTCACTCTTATGCTTTCTTCGAGAGATTGTAAAATTAAAGGATTGGAATATTTGTGTCTGCTTCAAGCATGAACACGCTTCTTTCCGTATCGCGGCGCTAATGATATTACTCTAAGCCGAGATTGAATGATGAGCTAATGAGCTACATATTTAATTTAAGTTTGACTTGGCTGGTTTTGGACCAGAACATAATCTGATTTCGTAGTGAGACGCACTACTTGACATCGTAGCTAAAAATACATGTGTTTGTGACATTCGCCGCACCAAGAGTTGGGAATTCTTATTATTCCAGTTGGCTCTATTTCCGCTTTCTAGAAGTAATCCCAATCTCATATTTACCTCATTAATCAAATCACTTTTCGAACGCTATGGTCACCCTCATTCAAACTTTCCTTACTCTACTACTCGTTGTTGTTGCGACCGCTAAAAACCAAACAATGTGCGATCCTGGTGACCTCAGTACACCAGAGTCTAGTCTGGTTACTCAAGTTAACATTGTTCGTAAGAATAACGGATTGCCGGCTTTGTGCTCAAACAAAAAGCTACAGGCTGCAGCTAAGCGGCACGTTGAGGACCAGTCCAAATCGGATTATATGTCTAACACTGGTACGGACGACTCGACTCCGGAGCAGCGTGTTACCGATGCCAAGTACAAGTGGCAAACTGTGGCTGAAAATATTGATTCAGGCAACGCTAATGCAATTGCCGTGGTAGACTGGTGGATGAAGGGACCAAGTCGCGATATCATTCTTGGCCAATACACTATGGTGGGTACGGCGTACAAGTATAACGAAAACACCTACAGCAAGCATTTCTGGGTCCAGGTGTATGCCACGGGTACATCGGAACAGTGCGATTTGGAATAGAACCTTACGAGTATTGATTAGCGCGACAAGTTGGAGTTATGCTTCCATACGTACCTGGATCTGTCATGTCACTTGTTACTTCATGTGTGATCGATCAAATGATCATCTTGGTGATAGGTGATCTCCTTCTTCGAGACTTGATCTTACACTTCGTATCAAGCTATATGAAGATTTTTTAGTGAACTAGGTCTGTTTATCATAAGCACTTGTAATGGATCAATAACTTTAATCTTTCAGTCACTGCGTCTTTTTATCATAACATCGTGTCTTACCGTACTTGTGTTTCGGACATGAAGTGCAGCTGTACAATTTGAACAAAAATATAAAAAGTTATTGCTTGCTCAACATCGTAACAAACTGGGCTGTTCTATTTTCACTGTGATATTTTTGTAGGATTCGTCAAAACTTTAAAACGACACCTTAATACAATATTTTAAGAATAACACGATCGCCGTCCAAATTCTTGGCATGTTAATTTTACCCATGTGGCTATGATTAATGCAGCCAATATTCAAAACGCAGATCTTCTCCAACCATAATATGCTGTCCAATCCGCTTAATAACACGTTAGCATGATTTTAATCACTACACGAAAAAAACACCACCATTTAATGCGATCTTAACTAGAACGACTTTACGATCGAGAACTTTTTTCCGGAGGCTCTCCAATTCTCTCTATGAGACAGCTGCAGCAGCTACTAACAAAAAACCGTACCGGGCACAAGGCCGATTTTCACTCACTAGTGGAAATGGCTCTGCGGCGGACATCCTTTCTCCTTCTTCAAGGAAGATAGTGGTCGAGGGTGCGCGAGACAGCAGGCAGCCAAAGCGCCAGGGTTACCTTGCCAAAATCAGACCTCAGACTGCCGTGTATATCCCTCCCATGTTCTCATTAAGTTACTTGTACCAGACCTGGTATACCCGCATGCCCAGTACCGATTTCACCTATAAGTGGGCATCCTCTAGCCCACCGAGCATAACCGCTGGAAGTTAACTTTTCGGCGACTGGCTCTCGTGAGCTTTCTCGGTTATGGGGGATGTAGACTTAATGGCGTGCTTCTGAAATGAGATAATCTCGGATGCGCTTTCGGGCCTTCTCCATCGCGCTGCATTCCCCCAGTCGTCACATACCGCGCAGCTGCTATCAAGTCAGGGTTATTTCGCAATTAGTGATGGTAGAGACGCTGCCCTCAGTGGGACCTTAGGTTTGGCTGGCTCATTAGAGTGCGATCATGGTATGACTTTAATTGGCTCGCTAAAAAAACTAGATGTATATGTATCTGCTGTGGGATAACAGGAGTTCAAAGTAATCATTTCTTGCTGTGATCGTGAACGGTTATATGTAGCGTAATAGCAACACAGTCAATAGACCGCACGCACTGCATGTATTAATAAGCTCGATGCATTCTGCCTCACGATGTCTTCTTGTTGATTTTTTCTTCCTCTAGAATCGACGTATCGCTCTTGCATAGGCTGGCTCTTAGCCGTAGCGTCGTTCACACTCAATCTCACTGACTTACAGCTACCGATGTTTCTACAAAGTTTTGCCGGGATGAAAGTGCGATCGACAACCACCGCCCCCACATCAATGTCAAATCGTGGTGATATCACGAGTATTTGGGGGCTTCGCTACTTATTTGAATGTGGTAAAGCCTGACGCGCCAAATCGGCGCAAACTCAATGATTGGGAGCGACGCGCTCTTGCGTCATGACTTATCCGCAAAACCGCATCAGAGGACGACCTTCACAGCATATTTTCCATGTCATTATTTACTTTCGGATGGTCAGCGGTTGAATATTTGGTCTGGTGCCGAGCATGCTGAGTAATGTTCGCCAAATTTTGATGCAAAGCGCGAAGAGGACAATGACTGGCAGCTCATTTTACAGTTCAATTTGTCAAATACTTACTGTATCCTTTTCAACACATTCAAACTAATCTTTGACAGCAGAAAGATGAGCGAATGCCAGTGTTACCGGACGCGTTTTTGAACAACGGAGGCAAAAACTTATTACTGCCGAAAACGGCAGCTTAGCCAAAAGTAACACCTCATGCGGCTGGATTTTAGAGTTTATTGAACTTCGGTCACGTGCACACATACGTGCTTTTCCATTTACGCATAATAGGTCATTATTACCTCGTGCTCACAGAGGTTGCTACCTAAAGAGGTATCATATCCCTCGTTCAGTATTTTGTCTAAGAGATTCTCATCCTGAGTACCACTGCACGCTAAGTCTGATATAGATCAGATCTGCATTTAACAAGCCTTGACATAAAAATTCCATTACAGGCCCGCAACTGTGCGCTCGATAAACGACATCAAAAATTTTAAAATTCTCGCTTCCTAACAGTTCTATCAAGCACGTTACGTCGGTCCCGTACGCTGTCTGTACCCCCACGCCAATCGGAATTATCAACTGTGATATGCGACAATTGTGGTCGAGATGACACACTCCTATCCACCGCAACATTGAGCTGGTCCGTCTTGGTACCCTATCTCGGAGGCTTACCTAGCAACAAATGCTAAAATTGTTATTTCTGTGGAAAACGCGTTTACAATGCCTCGATTCACAAAAGCAAATGATCTTTATCGATCACATACGGCGCAAAGCCAAGTTGGTGCATCTTGAACTTTAAAAAGCAATACTTAAATGCAAGCAGTAAACAAATTAGCTCTTCTCCACCGTTTTAATTAGGCGAGACTCAAACACGGTCACATATTCATGTCTATCGACAAGTAAGCAAAGCACAACCAATCGTAAAGGCTAAAGCGTTTTGAATGACGTGGATATGCAAGTCTGGATTTGGGAGTGGCAGAAACGACACGAAAAAGGCATTCTTTTACTGCCTTATTGACCGCCTCTTCAACTGCACCAAACAACATTTAACAATTATTTTATTGAATTAATGAGGTCCGTGCTAGTCGGCATCGTTTGCACTATACATATGCAAGTGGTTGGCCAGACCAGGCCGGTTCACCAAGCAGTTCTGAGAGAGAGACACAAACACTCTACAACGTCATTTATCTTTGCTAGATCTGTCTGCATGCGCTTTTTCCAGATTATTACAAAAAAGAAAATGTCGTCGACACTGAAGATACTTTCGTCTATATGAGCAAATTGCTGATTGAATCCTATACTCTCGGGAATTGCTCGCAAGAGCTCAATGTGGGTTCTCCACATCCGACTTTCCGTGCTCTGTGAAATTATCCACGAGTAAATCGTCGAAATTGGAGGCACAGGCTGCAGCAGGGCTGTCGTAGCTCGTTGCTGAGAAAGCTTACTAAGGTCACCGACCTTACGTTTTATACAAGAACCAGTACGCGTGTAGCGGATCGCAATCCGCTACCTCCAAAAGTACCCGGAATCTTAACCAAGGCAAATAAACTCTTCCGTTCAAAAATAAAACTCTGTTTATCTGTTTTATTTGCCGCAGAGCCGCCTATATCTTAAATGTTAGCTTTTTCTAATTAAAATGTAAAACTAATTAATATGCATAACTACTGGTAGTCCAGCCACTTAGTTACGGTGTAGCCACACCATTGTATGATTACACCAACTTGTGTACCCAATACGATCACACACCTTGTATGACCCACCCTGGTACGTGCAAACCCCGTTATACAGGCCCAACTTGACCTGAACAGCCACATAAGCAAATAATCAAAAGTTGCTGGTATATTTAACGGTCTCTGTTGATTATCCTGCTACCCCGAAAGCATGTCACTTTAGGTATTCACCGCCGTGAGAGGAATACCGCTGCCTGTCATTGACAGTTAGTGATACACATCAACCAGGGCGGACACTGAGCGGGGTGCAGCCGAGCGATGCTGCACAGTAGCTCACCTCTTTAAGGGAATGGCGCCCGCGCCGATATTGTAGCTGCCTTTGTCAAAATATAAGCATGCAATCCCCAACTTAATGTTGGCCGCTCTGACATAGAATGCCAGCACCGAATCTGGAGATTCATTTTCTCTCATGATACCTGCATCGTGTTTTGCACGGAAATAGTGTCAATTATCGCATTGTCCCGTTCATTAAGGCTATCACCGTGTTACGCAATTTTCGGTAAGAAAATTACAAGTCAGTTTTGTGACGCACTGCCCAGTCCAGTGTTTCATGCGTTAGGGGTCTTTTGGCACCCTCGCATCATACTTATTCAGCTAAATATGAAATGGACCGTAGGAGATGAAACTAACTTCCCCACTCTACTCTAGTGTCCCCATTGACAACTTCTTCCATGACGGATTTTAAACTCCGTCCGTCTCTTTTACTGAACAAATGAAACAAGGTGGTCGTCTCTCAGCTCCTAGCACACTTTTTAGAAAGCAATGTTCAAGATTAACGAGTGCATCTTCACGAGATAGTCACTAATACTAGAACTTATTCAATTTGCGAGAAAATAAACTTCACACATTCAACTCGTTTGGCTTAGCCGTTCAGCTGTGGACACTGCACTCGTTTTTAGTTATGCAGCGCTTCCGATTGCCTGTGGTCACGATATATCACCCTGTCCCTTCTATTCGCGACTTACAGTCGACTTCACCAAAGCGGCGTTTCGCCCTATAGATCACAGAGTAAAATTGCATTTTTCATACCACCAAAACTAAATTCTGAAGGGAACATACAGGTACACGTTTCTGTTTTTCCGAGCGCACTGGGCAACAGCGTTGCTTAATTATTCGGACAGCTTCATCTCCTTCGCACGAGGTAATGTCCGCACCAAAAGTGCTTTCCTTGTTAGTAAAAGTGGGATCGTGACCCGCCAAAGTCTGTCTTTTGAGTGAAGCGGATGCGTCTCAATACTGTCCGCTTTTGATGTCGCAATGGCTCATGATGTTTTAGTCACGTCAAATCTAGGAGATCAACTCTTTCTTTTGCCTGATCAAAGGCAGTGTTTATGTTGTCAAATACCAGTTTTCCTCTTTAAAATTAAGTATTATTGTCTATTTAGGTAGAGATAATATCGGATAGCATAATATTGCTGCAGCAAACTTGCAGCTTACACGTTTTCAAGCGTCAGCATATTTTCAACTCCACGCAACTCCAGCAGTTGGCGGTCTTTTAATTGCACTAAACTCCTTTCTGCTGCTAGTTGCTTTTCCAGCTTCTGCACGATTTCTCGTTGTATTGCATTTTGCATGCGATCTGCCGATTCACGTTCAAAGTTATCACCGTGTAGCTTAGCGATTTCGAGCATGTTTTCCTTTGCTTCACGTTGTCTAGCTTTTGCAAACATCATAGTACCTATCATGTGTCGCTCATAGACAAATAATCTCCATGATGTCCAGATGCGACGGATACGTAGCTTTTCAAGAATTTTTAAAGCAAGATGATTCTTCCGTTTTGATCTTTTCGTAACTGCTTTCCACGATTGAAAAACCCACTGAAGTACGATCGCTGCCATGCGTCTAAAAGCACGAGTCGTGGCTTTTGCAAACAACGAGTCTACTGCTTGAACCAACTGTGTCTTGTAGCGAGCACCATCCTGCTGTCTAAAGTGCGTAAAGCACGAAAAACACAATTCAGCACAACTCCCACATCCAGCGCAAAGAATAGTCGAAAATGAAGGCGAAAGGGACAATACATTGTCATTTTTGCTATGTAAAGCAACACTTGCTCGTCTGACTCTAATGGTTTGAAAGCTTTCATGTTGAGCTGGAGGCAGTGTTGTATATCTTTTGATGTTATTTTGAGGTAAATCTGTCGCCTTAGATGCTGTGCTGTGATGACAATTGCTTGCACCGTGTGGTAGCATAGTAGATTTTGTTTCTTTTTGCGGTAATAAGCACGTAGATGCTGCCTTTGGCGAGTTTAATTTTTCCAAATGCTTGTGGGGTATTGCCTTTTGAGACGTCGAAAATTCGACAATCTGTTTACATTGAGACTCTGACGATTGCAGAGACGTAAGTGTTACTTTCGACATTGATCGACTTATATGCCGTATTTGTCTTCTAATCAAATGGTACTTATATTTCAGTCTCATTTCGTCACTTAGACTGCACTATTCCTAGATGTGACTTCTCTAAAATTGGATTCTTCATCTTGAGGTGTATCTGATCTCTGTAAAGCTGCAAGTTGCTGAATACTAGCAATCACAACGTTGACATGGTCAGATACTTCACGAGCTTTTGCTTGCCATTTATTTCTTTTCCTGCATCATCAAACAAACAAGATGTTAATCTTCTATATATTCTCGTGAAGTCACTACTGAACGATTTCAATACTCCGTCAAGTGAATCAAATGCTTTTGTACAAAGTGCTGAGCTTCAGGAACCGTCATTTCGACGTGATGGTTAAGTCCGATATCCACTGTAATAAGTGATATATCGGGTACTTTTGCTCGTACGTGAAAACGTTCACCCACGTCCAATAACGTGTGCAACGATGCGTCCTTGTCATTTTTCGTGGCCAATTCGTGCAGCAACTCTTGCAGCTCCTGGTACTCATGCACTTCACGGGCGAGCACATCTCGATTTAAAAGTGTGCGCTTTAATTGTGGGCGCAAGACATCCTCGACAAACGCACTGTATCGCTCTAATGCAGCGGCGGTCTCAGACATTGGCACCATCAAATTAATAAGCAGTCCAAACTAAGAAAACGATATTGTAATAGAAAGGTTTCTACCTTTTGAATGTATACATCGTGAAGCTTCTACAATTCAAGCAACCAGCCTTTTCGAGGGACTATTTCTAGAATCTACAGCTATACATACTGCAACGTGAGTCTTCACGTCACTCTTTGTTGATTTTGTAGTCGTTGTGACTTGTTGCTGCACTCTCCTCCATTGTTTTTGTTTCCTCATCTTTTGTGTTCCAGCCTTCGACAAAACCACGCGTTCCATTTGGACCTTTAGCTGTTCGAGATGCCACCATAGCGTTCCCACCAATCTGCCGCATTGCTTCTTTTAGTGTTGAATTCACCGTTCGCGAGCCTCGAGTCTGTGATGTTGTTGCACGGTTGGATGAAAGGCATAGAATACTCAGTGCTTGACCACGAACCAACTCGTTCTCTTGATTAGCTATTTCCTCCTTCTCTTCACTTCCTTTTTGAACATTATGGTTCCTAGATGCAATATCGAATGGAAGATACGCAAACTCGACACAATCACCTTCATTCAAAGTATCACCACGTAGCACAGATTGAGCGACAAATCGGGCCTCGACTACCGGGCCTTCGCCATCGAGACGGATGATACCACCTTGATCTCCCATGTGCGTGACAACACCCTGCTTCGCATGGGACGTTACGAGTCGAATATGAGCAGCACGAAGGTTTTTTGGAGTCACTTGAGGAATAAACTCCACTTCATCTCCCTCACGCACAATCACAGCTGGATCGGTAATGTCATGAATGTAGTATTGATAAAACTGTTTACCGGGCTTTTTCAATCGAACTTGCTTATTTGTATCGTTGAGGGAAGTCCCAACCTCCGCAACTTTTCTCCCCCCTTCCTCTTCACTGTCTTTATCGTCAGCATCGGTACTAGCATTGTCGTCATCAGTACTGCTAGTAGTCGCTAGTCGAATTCGACCGACTGAACTCGATTTACTGTTTGACTTTGCAAATCGATTCTTGGAAATGCGATGCAAGACGCTCGCCTTCGTGACAATACCTCTCACGCTTTCTCGCACTGTGGTCTTGATCGTTCCTGCTGGAACAACGCTAATGGCAGTTGCACGCTTCCTCTTTTTTCTTTCATCGAACAAACGAGTAAATTGCACCTCAGTTCCTTCTTTCAGATCTGCCAGCGTTTGTCCCGTCGTAATTTCTTTAATGTGAAAAAATAGATTCTCTTCCATAACTCCCGGGACAGTCTGAACGGGCATAATAAAGCCGAATCCTTCAGATTTTAATGACACAATAACTCCTTCTTCTTGAACAGCATCTGTCTTTGGAGTAGCGGCATTACTTCTTGATGAAGTAGATTCCACGCACTTGATTGATCTACACTGGAATTGCTTAGTGCGCTTCACCAACACAAGATCGAATTTAACGCGATCATCCACACGAGGGTGATACCGCACATCATCTACGTCATCCTCTGTATAGGTTGCTGTAATCTCTGGTGGAGCTGCTATCAGTTTATCTTTCACGAAGTCTAAGGAAATGGTGTCGCTGCCAAAAATTTCAAGATGACGGTCCGAGTCTTCGCCAATACTTCTGTGTTGTAAACCAAGCCAATCACTGTATTCATGCAATGCGGCACGTTCAAACTTCGACAATGTACTGGGGAACGCAATCCGGAGTGTATTTTTCTCATGAGGATGATCTTCATTGCCTTCAGCCGAATCTTTCCCGTCCTTTGATGTTATGAATACAGCATCAAGCTTCTGTTTCAGTTCGGGTAAGAAATCAATCAAGTGCTGCTTGTTTGGAGCCACACAGCCAATTCTGCCGTGCATAAGCTTTTGCAAGTGCTTTACCTTGTCTCCGCGTCCACCACGATTTAAGCTGTGACCTCCACGCGAAGCCGGTACCCCTAGAATTTTGCCTTCTACACCTTCTAATAAAACAGCTTCCCACTTGACTGTTCCTCTGGGCAAGAGTTGCACACGCGTCGCACGAACATGGTCCGACTTGGTATCAACCACCACATCAAAAGCCACCTCTGTGCCAGTACTAAAATTTCGATTCATGCCCATAACGTCAGAAAAACGAAAGTATGCATCTCCAAACCGCTCTACACATTTGATGAATCCAAACTCGTCTTTCATACCATTAATTACGCCAGTCTCACGATTTTTCTGGCAAAGCTGTACAAAACGGACCTTCACGGCCTTGATCCTACGAGTCCGTTTGTCTAAGACTTCGTCAAAGACAACCTTGTCGTCAATATGAGGGATATAGCTCGGATCCTCCGTATCACACAGACGAAATGCCACCTTTTGCCCCTCAATTCCATTTTTCACCTTTTTATTTTCCTCCGATATGTCAACGTTATCCTCTACTTCGACAATCTCTTGTGGATAAATTTCTTTAGCAATCGATCCAAAAACTTCCGGGCTGTTCCTCGGTTCCTTCGGAACTTTTTTTACCACACCCTCAACGTCCGACCGCAGCAGCTGCTCAAACGATACCGAGCCGGCCGGAAGCTTTTGCACACGCAATGCACTCAATCGTCGTCGAGAGTGCCTTGAATCGTCCTCTTGTTCTTCATACACAAAAAAAGATACTTCATCCCCCTCACCAATATATGGACCTTTGCCTTGGCGACCAGTGTGATGCTCATCTTTAGAATCATCATCCTTATTATTTCTGCTTTCAATGTCCTCAAGTAGCTCATCAAAGGAAAAATATAATTCAATCGGACGGTCGCAGCACTTAATAAACCCCCCACCATACTTCACACGGTCTACCACGCCCATTTCGCGTGTCATCATTGCCAGCTTAGCCTCGACCTCCTTATTTAGCTTTTCACGAGCTGACACTGTAATAGTGAGATCCACAGCGCGTTTGCCTCCCGTTTTGCGGTGCCTGGCGATCTTAAAGCGTACTTCATCGCCAAAGTGAGGGGTCAAGTTTACTTTTGCTCGATCAGTGTGTCCCTCGTCTTCAGCCACACTAATTGCAGCTAAACTTTCACTGGTAAAGCGTATAAGCTCGCGCTTTGCAAGTGTCTTCTTCTTCACATCTTCATCCGCTTGTGTCTGCTCAACCGTTCCTTCCTGCTCCGTTTCACTCTCCTTTATGCTCTTTTTTACCTCAATCAGTCCATACTCTTCTCGATGACGACGATCGTCATCACGATTATAAGCGTATCCACGACTACCGCCACGAAGTAGACTCTTCGTCACTATTCCATCATACCATTCGTCCGAGACTTCTTCAGTTTTAATTGTTCCTTTCGCAAGAGATACTAATTGACACGCCATTTCCTTGTCAGACCGTTGGTTGTACTTGACTCGATACTCAACTTCGTCCTGTAATTGTATGTCGATTGGAGCCTCCGAAATGTGAAAAAACAAGTCACCGTCTCGGTCTAAACTACTTACAAATCCAAAACTCTCTTTTATAGAAACGATATATCCTTGTTCCACAGGCATATTATACTGAGCGCCAGATTTTCGACGATCGCCATTGCGTCCCCAGTGAGAAACATCAGCTCGTCCTCCACCTTCATAACGTCCATGATCCCGTTCAAAACGCCCATTCCGGTCATTATCCCGATTATTAAACCTACTACGATCATTGTCCAAATTCAATTGATCTCTGTCGTTGTCCCGTGTAGAGAGCCCATTTCTATCATTGTGTCGATCATAAAACCGGCCACTTCGATCATTATGTCGATCATAGTGCCCACTACGATCGAAACGACCTCCATCGTAGTCACCTCGGTCTCGAATGACCTTTCCACGGTCATATTTTCTGTCCCGGTCAGATCGTCCCCTTTCAGATTCGAAACGGCGTTCGCTATTGCACATGTCCTGCTCAATGCGCCCGTCGATATCGCTGCGCTCATTTCTTTGCTTAGATACAGAAGCTTCGCCGGAAGAGGGAGCAGGTGTGACTGGAGCTAATGTAAGCGCTGGTAAAGGCGAGATATCCTCGTCTTCGGCGGCCCAGTCGCCAGGTTGCGGCGTGCGGAACATAATGACAAAAGTCTGATGGGTGGCGTGAAGATCGGTTACTTACTATCCAATGGTAAAAGTACCGGTTTTCCAATAGCTCTAACCATCACTCCTTCTCGCTTATGGTTGAGGAATTGAAGGACTTAGCGCCTCTGCTGCTTAAGAAAGAGCGTGTAAATGGGGATATTGACCCAGCAGTACTTACAGATGTGTTACGTGATAGTAAAGCAGCAAATGTACGTCGCAATGAACTAGTGAAGATCATTGAGCGCCATCCCGTACTTTCAGACCGAAAGATGATGTACCGTAATCACACAGAGCGGTATGAATTTGGTCTGAAAAAAGCGTTTTATTATGTCAAGTTGGTGCGTGAGGGTGGATTCACGGACTTGAACGACCAGCAGATTTTGTACAAAGCTCTGGGAGAACCTCTGGGGTTTGATGTTCACCGCGCTATGTTCATTCCGACACTAGAGAATCAAGGAAGTGATGAACAACGCGCTAAGTATTTACCATTAGCCAAAAGCTACAAAATCATTGGGGCTTATGCACAGACTGAATTAGGCCATGGATCCAATGTACAAGGTATTGAAACTATTGCGACTTATGATAAAGCGACTCAAGAGTTCATCATTAATTCTCCGACACTAACAAGTCGCAAGTGGTGGCCTGGAGGCTTAGGGAAAACAGCAACTCATGCTATTGTGCACGCAAGGCTCATTTTAGACGGAAACGATGTGGGTGTACAGGCTTTTCTGGTACAAATTCGGTCGCTTCGCGACCATCGGCCACTACCGGGCATCGAAGTTGGGGATATTGGTCCTAAGGTTGGATTTAATGGTGTAGATAATGGATATTGTGTGTTTCACACCGTACGTATTCCACGGGAGAATATGATGATGAGGTATGCCAAAGTACTACCTGATGGGAAATTTGTCAAACCAGAAAGTGACAAGTTGGTATACTTGACAATGGTACAGGTCCGAGCTTATATGATCAAGACTGCTGGATTGCAATTGGGCGCAGCCACGACGATATGTACTCGCTTTAGTGCCGCTTGTATTCAAGGCTGCACCAAGGACAAGAACCAAGTGCTCGATTCTCAGAATCAGCAACACAAACTCTTTCCTCTTTTAGCATGTTCGTACGCTGCGCTGTTTGCTGGCCTCTCTTTGATAAGAATGCATGATTCCGTACTTGAGGCGATTGAAAAGGGTGATGGCGCTTTCGGCGCTACACTAGCAGAGCTTCATGCCGTGGCTTGTGGCTTAAAGGCCTGGGTGGTCGAACGAGTTAGCAATGGGATCGAGACTTGCCGCCGGTTGTGCGGAAGTCACGGGTTCGCACAGTCGAGCAATTTAGCCCATTTATTTGCTGAAAGTGTCGGTGCTAACACGTACGAAGGTACCTCAGACGTGCTAGTTCAACAGCATGCACGTTATTTACTAAAGACGCTGGCATCTCCGCCCGTCAATGAACGATCTTTAAAGTTTTTAAATCAAGTGAAGCATTACAATGACGATCAACTGCATTGCAAGGCTGAAAGCATCACCGATTTCGACAATCTCGATCTACTTGTTGAGGCGTTTCGAACAAGAGCTGCACGTATCGTAATGTCTCTAGCTAGACGAATGGATGCGACGAAGAACGATAGCAATGCATGTATGGTTCTCATGACTCGTGCGTCCACTGCTCATTCCGAGCTGATTTTGTTAGAAGCTTTCATCGACAAAGTATCAAATTTTCGTTCTGGTCCGGAAAAGAATTCGGTTACTCAACTGTGTTCACTATTTGGTGCGTGGCTAATCACCAAAGCGTTGGGAGACTTTCGTCAACATGACTACATCTCATCCGCACAAGCTGTCTTACTTCAAGAGCAAGTCGCTCATTTACTGTCGGTTACCCGCAAGAACTGCGTGCTGCTAACGGATGCATGGGATTTTAGAGACTTTGAATTAAACTCAGCGATTGGTCGGTATGACGGGGATATCTATCGTGCTCTAGTGAAATGCACCGCTGATGAACCCTTGAACAAAATGCAAGTGCCTGAAGGCTATGAAATGTTTGTGAAGCCACTAATCCAGTCTGGATTGTAGTATCGTGAGTAAATTACTTCTAGAAGCAAAACACCGGATATGGATATAGAAATTTATACGTGGTCATGTAGCATTGAATCCAATTTTTCTGGTGGAGAGAAGTTTACGTTCATATGCCACCAAATGTCGACAAGGTTACGAAAGATACGAGTTCGTAAAGTATTTGAAAAACACATTATCTCAAGTTTATCTTCCTAAAATGATTCTTTTCAACCAATCATTTTGTATATAAAATACTTGCAACGACTGGTATGAATACGAAGCACGAGGCGCACGAAGTGCTGCGCTACTGGTTCGGCAGCGATCAAGCTGAGTCGTACCAGACTAAATGGTTTCCTTCGGATGGATCTGACAAACAGAAGGCTACGGATAGTGAAATTAAAGCGCAATTTCGCTCATTACTTGGTCGAGCAGAGACTGGAGAACTTGAGAGCTGGCGTGACACAAGTCCTGACACTTGTGTCGCACTTATACTGGTGTTGGACCAGTTTTCGCGCCATGTATATCGAGATCGTAGTATTGCTACAAATAGAGAGCAACTAGCGCGTAATGATATTCATGCTCTTGCAATTGTGGAGCAGAATTTACTCTTCAAGTGTTGGCACAAGAATTTGCCTGTACCACACTTTGTTTTCGCTCTAATGCCGCTGCGTCACTCTCCAACACCCGAGCGACTACATGATGTTCTTGCATCGATTGAAGCGAGAAATCAGTTGCATGAGCAGCACAAAGACTTATTAAATAAATTTCGACGCACTACGACCGGGAGACTACAACATTTAAGGGGAGACTTCGAGATCGAATCGACCAAAGTCCCAGATGATGATATTCTAGAACGATCATATATCGAAACAGACGAGAGTGAGATGCATAAGCATCGACTATATCGTATTGTAGACAACTATTTGACGCTGATGAAAGCTTCTGAGTACACCCACTTAGCAGTTTCGTTATCTGGAGGTGTAGACTCAATGGTTGTGGCGTATTTAATGCACAAACTGAAAGTTAAACACGGAGACTTTACAATTGTAGCCGTACATCTTGATTACGGTAATCGTCCTGAAAGTAAAGCTGAATGTGACTATGTGCAGCGTTGGTGTGAACGATTCGGCATGATCTTCTATAAGCGTCGAATTGATGAAGTAAAACGAGCGACCACACGACGTGATGATTATGAAAGGATATCACGAACGATACGGTACTCAACGTATGCGGAGGTGATGAAAAAATACCAAATTCCGGGTATTTGTTTTGGTCACCATCGAGGCGATGTCCAAGAGAACGTCATTTCAAACATGATGAAAGGACTTAGCTTGTTCAATCTGAACGGCATGCATGCAAGCAGTATTGTGAATGGAGTACAAATCTGGCGTCCGCTACTAGACGTCGATAAGGACGTTATCTTTGAATATGCACATCGATACGGTGTTCCTTATTTCAAGGACACGACACCAAAGTGGAGTACGCGTGGTAAATTACGAAACCATTTGGTACCCCTTCTTCGAGACATGTACGGTGACGGATTTCTTAATAATTTGTCGGCTCTAGGCGCCGAGTCAACGCAGTGCGCTGAGGTCGTGCATCAACAGGTTTTATCTCCAATCATGAATTCAGTCAAACAGAGTCAAGTGGCGGTGTGGCTTGATTGTGGACTATTATCAGACCAGCCTTTGTTTGTATGCAAGGAAGTTTTTCGTCAAGTGTGCCACTCACTGATGGGTAACAGTATGATTCGTGAAAAGCCACTACTTGAGCTCATTGACAAATTGAATCGCATGCAAAATCCTTTGAGTCGCAAGATTAAGCACAAGAACAAAGAAGCTGAATTGGGGTCTTGGGTTACACTTAAGAAAGGGAATCGATCATATTTGACAAAAGACAAGCAACTGATCATCTTTCGAGACCAATTCTTTCCTCAAACTCGGTATATTGCTCATTCATTCCCCATCCACGTCGGCAAGTCGTATCAATTTGGACCATGGAAGTTACAAACACAGTTGCTGGATGGTGATCACACAACAGTTCAGACTTTGAGCAAGCGTGATCCTTGGACCATCTGGGATCTCGTACATGCAAATGGCATCTCTTACGTGCTTCTAAACGCACCGCAATTTGTGATTAACTGTAACTCACGTCCTGATATGCTGCGACGTATTGAAAAAGTCATTACAGACAACATGCCCATCGTAACCTCTGTTGGTGCATTTGATGTAGCTATTCCAGCATGGGTACATGTCACTCTAACCTACTCTCAGAATGCATTAAGTACCTAAAATAAACTATCACAAGTTAGACCAATCAAACCTTTTTACTACCTCAACGTCCATTTCCACCATTCGCCATGTCCGAGTTAACACCTGAAGCTTCCCGTTTGTATCGTGTGCGTAAGACGACGGTCAAGATGCTACACAATCGTGGTTACATTGTAAGTGAGAATGAATTAGTTATGACACCTGAGGCTTTTCAATCACAGTTTGGGGACAATCCCACCCGTGAGATGATGACAATTCTTGTCGAGAAGATTGACGACCCAAGCGACAATTTGTTTGTCTTTTTTCCAGAAGATACAAAAGTAGGAGTTAAACCGATTCGAAACTACTGCAATCGTATGAAAGATGAAAATGTGACCAAAGCCATTCTTGTCGTGCAAGAAGGCATTACGCCATTTGCCCGTCAAGCGCTTAATGAGATGGCGCCACGTTACAAAATTGAGCATTTTAAAGAGACTGAATTACTTGTAGACATTACAGAACATACACTTGTACCTGTACATCGTGTACTTGGTCGAAGTGAGAAGGCAGCGTTGCTCAAGCGGTACCGTATTCGTGACTCGCAATTGCCGAGAATGCAGGTGACGGACCCCATTGCACGTTACTATGGAATGAGTCGAGGCCAAGTGGTTAAGATTATTCGACCGTCCGAAACGGCTGGTCGCTACGTCACGTATCGCGCTGTCATTTAACACTACGATGGGTGGCGCATGATGTAGCCGAAATGAAGACATGATGTATCAAGCCTTTTTCAATAGATGTATTTTTTCAAACCGTGTATTCCATTCCATTATTTTAATCACTGTCGAAGAGATCAGATTCGTACGCGTTGTCAGCCGCTTTCTTAAGTAACTGCTTGCTATCTCCAGCCATCTTTTGAATAGTTCGAATTAAATTTGGAGAAACACGTTCTTCCTCGTCACCGTCGTCATAAGAGATATCACAAAATCCATTTGGATGCACGTATTCAACGGAACCAGGGTAGAACGATGCTTGACCCCCAAAACGAGCTTCAATCCGATCTCCTCTTGAGAATTTTGATTGCATCTCACTGTCAGATTTCTGTTCACAGTCGTTATCACAGTATTTAGCTTTATCATTGTCTGGAGCAAGAAGTTCCGGTGCTAAATGCTGAAGTACTTTTTGTGGAGATTTAAGAAGCTGGACATCATACGTGCCGTCTTTTCGACATGAACAAATTTTTCCTCGAAAGTATTCTGTATGGTGACGTACCATCACATGAGCTCCTTGATGAAACTTGATTTGCTTATCAGCAAGAGATAATGCATTGCGTGCTATCCGTTTAAGCGTTCTCGGACGATCAATCTCATTTACTAAGACGTCAAATGTTCCGTCTGTACGACACAAGACGATCTTTCCTAATTGCTGCTTGTTCGAGTCTTTTAGTGTGACACAAACACGCGTACCAATAATCCATTCCGATCCATTCCGATTTTCGTCTTCAGGGAATAGTATGCGTAAGCTACTGAGTTCAACGTTTCGCTCGTGACGACCCGAGTCAAAGTGAACGTCAGCTACAAAATAGTCACGATAGATCCTTTCGATCGTTCCTCTTCCATGGACCATACTAGCAACGCGTGTTTCTGGCTCAAACCCGCTGAAAAGACCGATTTGTCGAGAAGGGGATGAACGTAACTTGTTGTTGCGAGATGATCGCTCTGTTTGAGTTGAGGATTCCGATGAATAGGTCGAATGATGCCGATCATAATGATCGCTTCTTTGAGAACGTCGCTTTCTTAAACGTCTTGAACGGTGTGACGTTCGGCGATAATGCGATTTTCTCGATTGGATGATGGACTGAGAATTTGAGCTGTCCGAGCGATTCTGAACACTGTCACTTTTTCCGTCGTCCTCGCTGTCACGATCTGATGGCTTTTTAGAATGTGTATGTGATTTCTTAGCGACTTGTCGCTCCTTTTGTTTATGTTGCTTCTGTCGATGAGCACTCACTTGCTTTTTCCACTCAGGAACTTTCAATTGGATATGTTTTTGTCGAAGGAACTCGTCGTAATCCAACCTATTTTTCCTTGCGCGTGAACGCGGACTTTTGCTGTTCGTTCTAGTTTGACACGAAGACACTGATTTTTTTTCTTGTTGTCGTGGTAAGTCTTCGATATCAAGTAAGAGATCACGAGGATAATTGCGGTTTGCATCGAGGCGTTTTACAAGACGATGAAAGGCAGCACGCGAAATATCTCGACGACGTATTCGACCAAGACCTTCGCGTTCGAGATATCGCAGCACTTGCTCACGAGACAAGACAGCTCCAAGCTCGAGTGCTGCTTGCGCTGCTTCGACTGCGTTAAGCATACAATGCTCGTCTTCTTCCTCACTATTATCCTTGATATCGTCCTTAGAAATGCGAGACTTCACTCTGTGTCGTCTTATAAATCGATCAAAAGCTTCATCGACTTGTAGTTCGCGTTTTGTTCGCGTTTTCAACTTGTTCTTATCACTTTCACTATCTCGATCTTTGCTTTCACATTTGCCATCGTCATCGTCGTCTGGACTGCTTCGTCCAACAGAATTTTTATCCTCAGCAACTTTTAATTGTGTCTTTGACTCTCTCTTGCTCTCTTGATCTTCATAGCGAGGACACATTCGAACGTGCCCAGAGCTGTGCAAGTGTACCACACGACTACGATGTTCCAACGCATCGTTTCGGATCGATCGTTTAATCAAAGCAGCTTCTTGATCCTGAGCGTAGACTTCTGCTGCAAATTCTAAGCACGCCAATGTAAAGTCTGCAAAACTGATTGTCTCTTTCCGCTTAATACTATCCTTACTACTTATTTTCGATGGCAACTGGGCTGCACACCAGACGGCCACTTCGTCACTTGGTACAGCTGGAAATAATGTTGTCAGTGCACGATGCACAACACTTTGTGGCTTCAAATCCGTGGAATGAACGGGTTCATACGAACGAAAGAGTTGTTGAAGTCTTGCTACACTAGTAGCTTCTGTTCCTGCTTTCGATTCTACATACTGCGAGTACCTAGTGATAAACTGGGCAAAATCCATCCGCTCGCTAGCTTCCTCGATCGTTTCCTGTGCATCTAGCCACCGACAAGCTAACTCTGTGCTCTGTGTATCACTGAGCCCGAGTTCTCGAAGCAATCGCACTAATCCTGCTTCATCAAGAGTATTGTCAAGAGCTTGATTGTTATAACATTGTCGTAGCTTTTTCAGATCCAGTACAGCAAGTCTAGGTCCAAATGCATGAACTGCAAATGCTCCTTGGGTTACAGTCGATGTGTCAGCTGGTTGGTTAGCAAGTTTGGCGAAAGCTCGAGCAAATGCTGGGAATGAGACGTTGCCAGTTTCAGCCGCCTCTTTCCCAAAGAGCTCTTCACTGTGTAATAAACGCTCTACTGCTTGTGGGGAAGCTTCAATTGATTCGGTAGTGCAGGGATGAGAAGGAATGGTACATCGAAGACGAGAGAGAGCTTGTTTTACTTGTGTGAAGTCGAGAAATCCATCGTGGTTTGCATCAAGCCGATCAAACGTACTTTTGAGATGAGCAACTGCAGTAACTCGATCAATATCAAGCACAGCCAAATAATCTTCTAGTTGAGTGTAATCAAGACCATGAGTTAGAAGCTCTCGATCACGTAATCTATCAATCGAGGTAAGTAATCGAGATCGATGGTAGGGGTGAGTGATGCCAAGCAGCAGCTGTAAATCACTCCCTTCGAGCAAAATTAACGTACATCCGTCAATGTGATTGCGCTCAAAAACTTGATGATATTGAGACAAACCGACATCGGAGTCTAACCACTTAAGAACATCTTGGGTTGTCCAATCTCGTACTTCAAATGGTATTTGATCTGTCAAAGCTGATGAAGTGACTGCAGAGTTACGTTTTGGAGAATGAGAACGGGTCAAAATCTGAGTTAGTTCTGAGTGTCGTGCACGTGGAAATAATGTGAAGCTAGTGGTCTCTTCAGTTTCACCAATTGCATTCACAAGGTGAACAGGAAAATCTCCACAATCTGCAAGAAGCTCACGACAGTTTCCACAAGGAAAAGGTAGTAACGCACGTTGTTCACTGCAGATCGCCATGGCAATGATAACAGAACTGGTGTGGGAGGTCAACATTTTCATTATCACAACGCGTTCAGCGCAGAGCATAAGAGCTCCGTTTTCAATGGCACTAGCCGAATATAAAGTTTGAGAATCGGTGAGCACAGCAGCTCCGATACCGACACCCATGGCACGTGAAGATCGAGCTGCACGCGCTGCTGCTTCTATGACATGCTCCGTTTCACGTTTCTGTCCACTAGCGTGAGTGAGAACACCTGTAAAGTGTCGTTTGTACAACGTACGTCGAGCGTCTAAACGTTGTTGTAACCCCTCTTCATCATCTTCCGAAATCTCCTTATCGCGATGATACAAGACAGACTTGCTGCTGCAGTCTCCGATGTGGCGTGTATTCGAGTCAAGTTTATCAATTGCTGAAAGACCTTGCACTGTAGCAGTTAACAATGACTGTTGTCCTTCTTTGGATTGAGACAAGAATTGACCGTGTCGATGGCGTCGAAGATTGTTATTGTTTATACTCTTTGCCTCTTTATTCTTGTGAGCTCGTGCAAGTTGCAATACGCGACGTAGATCATCTTCAAGTTGGTTGGACATGATCACACGCAAGTTCGTTGCTACGTTAATCTAGTCAGATGGCATGTAAACTTCCCTTCTTGACTGCCATCATGATCCCATAATCACGTAAATAGACGTCTTGTGATCGAAGGTAATTGAATTATTCGTGATCTTTTCATCTGCCATTGTCTTACGAACGTATAATTTCTTAGCGGGTTGGCCACGCTTTTGGAGAGTCTATGCTTACTCATGCAGCTACAATCTGCTCCGTGCCTTCATGAAAAAGAAAAGCTCTCAACTATTCCGACTGGTAAACTCTGTCTTTTGTGATCTTGATATATCGCAGCATTTTTTTAATATAACGGTATTGGAGCTGGAAATCCAGCGGCAAGTACTCGTCGAACTGCGCTTTTCAACAGCTTTCATCTAGCGCTTTTTGAATCAGCGAAAAAAAAGATCGCAAAGTTGTGTGTTTATTCGATTGGCCTCGTTACCATCGGCCAGATATGTGACTTTGTAAAATTGAAATGGATAGGCGTTTCAAGTAGTTTCCTCGAAGAAAATGCAAGCAAACTAGTCATTGCGACTAAAACGACAAAACAGAGGTAAATCTAAAGCAATAGATGCGTCACTTTGTGGGGGTCAGGAAGACAAGTTTTGGTATTCATGATGGGAGCGGAGGTCATCTTGTCGTTTCAACCTGCTCTTACAATGGCTGTCGCCAACGGCGATTAAAAAATTACAAGGTGTTATGGACTGCTGCTTTAGCATTGCAATCTGGGGGTAGCGCTTTAATCATAGCCACATTGCTGGACAAGACAGCTAATATTCTGTGCATGCTTCTAGCTGACTGAGCTAGTTGAAGCATGAGTATCCTACGCGTTAGATAAGTTAAACGGCCGTCATTAAGCTTTTCGAGAAGATTTTAACCGTTTGTAAGCAAACGCACTTGTATTGCGACAATCAGTATGATCGGTGCCACTGTTACACTTGAGTGCTTACCTCACTCCGATAACTTCAAAGTTGTAAGAATAATGGGGTTCGGCGCAAGCAAAAGTGCTCAGCGCATCCAGAAACTTACGCCATTACATCAGTGAGTTGACGCAACTAAAGCACAGAAGTGCTACCGATCACCTGATGCGATATCTTTTAGTTTTCTCGGTTATTTCCTTTGAAATGATGGTTTGTGTGAACAAAGCTATCATGTAGCGAAAACATTTGATGCACCGCAATTTTCTTACTCCCATCTTAATGCCACGACGTTCACGTTGCCAGTATCCACTTTGTATTTTGACAAAAGTGCAATAGACAACCGCTTTCAATGTTATATTCGGGGTCCCAAGTTGGCTTACAGCTCGAATGAAGCAGAAATCTAGTCGCAACACAATTAGAGTACCCTTTTTGCTTCAAAGCTACGACATGGCAAGTACTGATCAATGCTGTCCGTGCTTCCGCATCTGCGTCAGATACTAGGAGCACTCGAGCACGACTCTGTGGTATGTTATCTCGTTAATTTCATGCCCTGCTGCAATTTTCTTTGGATAATTTCGATGCACGGAGATCTCGTGAATCGTACCCTCTGCATCGAGGGATTGTGCAATAGCTGTAAAAGCACCTTGTGGAATAAAGTGTGGGTAAAACACCGCTTACAGCTCGAGTTATTCGAAGTTGTCATAGCCTGATTCCATCGTCTTTATTGTTGTCTTCCTTCCATCATTTTTTATTTATTTATTTATTTATTTATTTATTTATTTATTTATTTATTTATTTATT